CACAGAAACGTTACTTAGGGCCACAGAAACGTTTACTTAGGGCCACAGAAACGTTACTTAGGGACAGACACAGAATTGTTACTGAGGGACACAGATTTGTTACTGAGGGCCACAGAAACGTTACTTAGGGCCACAGAAACGTTACTTAGGGCCACAGAACAGAATCGTTACTTAGGCCACAGAAATGTTACTTAGGGCCACAGAATTGTTACTTAGGGACAGACACAGAATTGTTATTGAGGGACACAGAATTGTTACTGAGGGCCACAGAACGTTACTTAGGGCCACAGAAACGTTACTTAGGGCCACAGAATTGTTACTTAGGGACAGACACAGAATTGTTACTGAGGGCACAGAATTGTTACTGAGGGCCACAGAAACGTTACTTAGGGCCACAGAATCGTTACTTAGGGCCACAGAATTGTTACTTAGGGACACAGAATTGTTACTTAGGGGACACAGAATTGTTTACTGAGGATACAGAATTGTTACTGAGGGCCACAGAAACGTTACTTAGGGCCCACAGAAACGTTACTTAGGGCCACAGAAACGTTACTTAGGGCCACAGAATTGTTACTTAGGGGGACACACAGAATTGTTATTAGGGACACAGAAAAGTTGTTACTGAGGGCCACAGAACCGTTACTTAGGGCCACAGAAACGTTACTTAGGGCCACAGATTGTTACTTAGGGACAGACACAGAATTGTTACTGAGGGCCACACAGAATTGTTACTGAGGGCCACAGAAACGTTACTTAGGCCACAGAAACGTTACTTAGGGCCACAGAATCGTTACTTAGGGCCACAGAATTGTTACTTAGGGCCACAGAATTGTTACTTAGGGGACACAGAATTGTTACTGAGGGACACAGAATTGTTACTGAGGGCCACAGAATTGTTACTGAGGGCCACAGAAACGTTACTTAGGGCCACAGAAACGTTACTTAGGGCCACAGAATTGTTACTTAGGGACAGACACAGAATTGTTACTGGGGACACAGAAACGTTACTGAGGGCCACAGAAACGTTACTTAGGGCCACAGAATTGTTACTTAGGGCCACAGATTGTTACTTAGGGCCACACAGAATTGTTACTTAGGGCCACAGAACACTTAGGGCCACAATTGTTACTGAGGGGACACAGAATTGTTACTGAGGGCCACAGAATTGTTACTGAGGGCCACAGAACCGTTACTTAGGGCCACAGAAACGTTACTTAGGGCCACAGAATTGTTACTTAGGGCCACAGAATTGTTACTTAGGGCCACAGAATCGTTACTAGGGACAGACACAGAATTGTTACTTAGGGCCACAGAACAGAATTGTTTACTTAGGGCCACAGAATTGTTACTTAGGGACACACAGAATTGTTACTGAGGGACACAGAACAGAATTGTTACTGAGGGCACAGAACCGTTTTAGGGCCACAGAAACGTTACTTAGGGCCACAGAATTGTTACTTAGGGACAGACACAGAAATTGTTACTGAGGGATACAGAACAGTTACTTAGGGACACAGAATTGTTACTGAGGGACAGACAGAAACGTTGTTACTTAGGGCCACAGAATTGTTACTTAGGGCCACAGAATTGTTACTTAGGGCCACAGAAAATTGTTACTTAGGGACACACAGAATTGTTACTCAGGGACAGACACAGAATTGTTACTGAGGGACACAGAATTGTTACTGAGGGACACAGAATTGTTACTGAGGGCCACAGAACTGTTACTTAGGGCCACAGAATTGTTACTCAGGGACACAGAATTGTTACTCAGGGACAGACACAGAATTGTTACTCAGGGACACAGAATTGTTACTGAGGGACACAGAATTGTTACTGAGGGACACAGAATTGTTACTGAGGGACACAGAATTGTTACTTAGGGCCACAGAAAACTGTTACTTAGGGACACAGAATTGTTACTCAGGGACACAGAATTGTTACTCAGGGACACAGAATTGTTACTCAGGGACACAGAGAATTGTTACTCAGGGACACAGAAGAATTGTTACTGAGGGACACAGAATTGTTACTGAGGGACACAGAAATGTTGTTACTGAGGGACAGACAGAATTGTTACTGGACACAGAATTGTTACTCTGAGGGACACAGAATTGTTACTGGGGACACAGAATTGTTACTCAGGGACACACAGAATTGTTTACTGAGGGACACAGAATTGTTACTGAGGGACACAGAATTGTTACTGAGGGCCACAGAACTGTTACTTAGGGCCACAGAAACGTTACTCAGGGACACAGAATTGTTACTCAGGGACACAGAATTGTTACTCAGGGACAGACACAGAATTGTTACTCAGGGACACAGAATCGTTTAATTAAAGAGTATGTCAGACAACATGCAGAGGAGTGGCAGAGGGAGGCAATGTTTTAGGAGCGAGCAGACGTGGACAGCAGAGGAAGGGGTCGAGGCAGCACTATTCGCAGCCAGAGGCCAGTGCTCCCGGTGTCATCAGTACAGTGAGGAAGAGCTAACAGAGGGCGGTCAGGAACGGGGGGAGACAGAATCTTCAGCAGCCAGGCGAAGAAGTAGTGGGCGAGGAGAGTGGCTCGGTACACAGCCGGTCTAGAGACAGGTCTGTCTCCTGACCCACACGCAGCCGAGGGGGCTAGTAGTGAGGGGGAGACCCTAATTGATGATGATGAGGCTGATCGCACTTGGCAGCCTCGTCGTCATCAGGCTATTGCTTCCGCATCATCAGGAGAATTGAGAGGGTGGCAGCTTGGCAGCGAGCAAAACAGTCGGTGGGTTGTCTGTCTCCATCGCCACACTCTGCCATGTGCCACTTTCAGGTCTCCTCACACACTGTGGTGTGTTCCATTTTTTGTCATAGGGTGCTGGCAGATTACGGGCCTCCCATAGCTGCTGCCAGGCCCCTAATCTGCCATGGGCCCCTGTACCGCCTCTCATGCTGCTGCCAGGTCCACAGTGTCTCATGCCATGTGCCACTTTCAGGTCTCCTCACACACTGCTGGTGTGTTCAATTTTTTGTCATAGGGTGCTGGCAGATTACGGGCCTCCCATAGCTGCTGCCAGGCCCTACTAATCTGCCATGGGCCCCTATACCGCCTCCTCATGCTGCTGCCAGTCCAGAGTCTCTCATGGGTCCCTGTACGGCCTCCCATTGCTGCTGTCTCCATCGCCACACTCTGCCATGTGCCACTTTCAGGTCTCCTCACACACTGCTGCTGTGTGTCAATTTTTTGACATAGGGTGCTGGCAGATTACGGGCCTCCCATAGCTGCTGCCAGGCCCCTAATCTGCCATGGGCCCCTGTACCGCCCTCATGCTGCTGCCAGCATGGGTCCACGGCCTCCCATTGCTGCTGTCTCATGCCACACTGCCATGTGCCACTTTCAGGTCTCCTCACACACTGCTGGTGTGTTCAATTTTTTGTCACATAGGGTGCTGGCAGATTACGGGCCTCCCATAGCTGCTGCCAGGCCCCTAATCTGCCATGGGCCCCTATACCGCCTCCTCTCATGCTGCTGCCAGGTCCAGAGTCTCTCATGGGTCCCTGTACGGCCTCCATTGCTGCTGTCTCCATCGCCACACTCTGCCATGTGCCACTTTCAGGTCTCCTCACACACTGCTGGTGTGTTCAATTTTTTGACATAGGGTGCTGGCAGATTACGGGCCTCCCATAGCTGCTGCCAGGCCCCTAATCTGCCATGGGCCCCTATACCGCCTCCTCATGCTGCTGCCAGGTCCAGAGTCTCTGGGTCCCTGTACGGCCTCCCATTGCTGCTGTCTCCATCGCCACACTCTGCCATGTGCCACTTTCAGGTCTCCTCACACACTGCTGGTGTGTTCCATTTTTTGTCATAGGGTGCTGGCAGATTACGGGCCTCCCATATAGCTGCTGCCAGGCCCCTAATCTGCCATGGGCCCCTGTACCGCTCCTCATGCTGCTGCCAGGTCCAGAGTCTCTCATGGGTCCCTGTACGGCCTCCCATTGCTGCTGTCTCCATCGCCACACTCTGCCATGTGCCACTTTCAGGTCTCCTCACACACTGCTGGTGTGTTCAATTTTTTGACATAGGGTGCTGGCAGATTACGGGCCTCCCATAGCTGCTGCCAGGCCCCTAATCTGCCATGGGCCCCTATACCGCCTCCTCATGCTGCTGCCAGGTCCAGAGTCTCTCATGGGTCCCTGTACGGCCTCCCATTGCTGCTGTCTCCATCGCCACACTCTGCCATGTGCCACTTTCAGGTCTCCTCCTCACACGCTGCTGGTGTGTTCAATTTTTTGACATAGGGTGCTGGCAGATTACGGGCCTCCCATAGCTGCTGCCAGGCCCCTAATCTGCCATGGGCCCCTATACCGCCTCCTCATGCTGCTGCCAGGTCCAGAGTCTCTCATGGGTCCCCTGTACGGCCTCCCATTGCTGCTGTCTCCATCGCCACACTCTGCCATGTGCCACTTTCAGGTCTCCTCACACACTGCTGGTGTGTTCCATTTTTTGACATAGGGTGCTGGCAGATTAGATTACGGGCCTCCCATAGCTGCTGCCAGGCCCCTAATCTGCCATGGGCCCCTATACCCGCCCTCCTCATGCTGCTGCCAGGTCCAGAGTCTCTCATGGGTCCCTGTACGGCCTCCCATTGCTGCTGTCTCCATCGCCACACTCTGCCATGTGCCACTTTCAGGTCTCCTCACACACTGCTGGTGTGTTCCATTTTTTGTCATAGGGTGCTGGCAGATTACGGGCCTCCCATAGCTGCTGTGCAGGCCCCTAATCTGCCATGGGCCCCTGTACCGCCTCCTCATGCTGCTGCCAGGTCCAGAGTCCTCATGGGTCCAGTACGGCTCCCATTGCTGCTGTCTCCATCGCCACCATCTGCCATGTGCCACTTTCAGGTCTCCTCACACTGCTGGTGTGTTTCAATTTTTTGTCATAGGTGTGCTGGCAGATTACGGGCCCCATAGCTGCTGCCAGGCCCCTAATCTGCCATGGGCCCCTATACCCGCCTCCTCATGCTGCTGCCAGGTCCAGAGTCTCTCATGGGTCCCTGTACGGCCTCCCATTGCTGCTGTCTCCATCGCCACACTCTGCCATGTGCCACTTTCAGGTCTCCTCACACATGCTGGTGTGTTCCATTTTTTGTCATAGGGTGCTGGCAGATTACGGGCCTCCCATAGCTGCTGCCAGGCCCCTAATCTGCCATGGGCCCCTGTACCGCCTCCTCATGCTGCTGCCAGGTCCAGGCGAACGTAGTCACACAGGGGTAGGAACTTCTCAGTGTAATGAACAGAGAAATCGACAGATGGCTGTCTCCGCGCAAACTGAAAATCGGAACCATGTTGACCGACAACGGAAAGAAAGAACATGGTGTCTGCTCTGCGTCAAGGAAGGTTGTGCCATGCGCCATGCATGGCTCACGTGTTCAATCTGGTTGTCAAGCGGTTCCTAAAATCCACCATCCCACTGCAAGACATCCTTAAAATGTCACGTAAACTTTGCATGCATTTCAGCCATTCCTACACCGCAAAGCACACCCTCCTTGAGCTGCAGCGGCAGAACGGAATTCCACAGCATCCCTGATCTGCGACGTTGCAACAAGGTGGAATTCAACCCTACACATGTTAGACCGCCTTTACGAACAGCGAAAGGCCATCACCGATTTCCTGATGTTACAAAGCGGATAAAGGTACTCCCCTGTGTAACTTCGATGTCAGCCATTGGCAGCTCATGCGTGACACCTGCCGCTTGCTCAGGCCCTTTGAGGAGGCCACGCTATTCGTGAGTCGGCAGGACTATGGGATGAACGACGTCATTCCTCTGTTGCACGTCCTGGAACAAATGCTGTTAACAATGGCTGGTCAGGGTGCGGTAGACGTGGCGCACAGATCTCAACGCCACATGACCCCTGTGGGGGCAGGACAGGAAGAAGAGGAGGAGGTAGAGGAGGACATTTGTGCTCAGGAATTATTGAGTGAAATGGGTGGTTTTTCCACTCAGCGGACAGGAGTGGAGGAGCAGGAGCATCTGGTAGAGGAGGAGGAGGAGGAGGAGGAGACAGAGGACCCAGACGCACCGTGGCAGTATGCTGTGGAGATGGAGGCAGGGAGTCCCTCGCATTCCTTGGCACAAATGGCCCATAGCATGCTCGGTTGCTTGCGTAGCGACAGCCGAATAATAACCATCAGACAGAGGGATGACTTTTGGCTGTCCACCTTGTTGGACCCTCGCTACCGTTCAAAAATGGTGGCCTTTTTCACACCTGCTGAGAGGGAGGCCAAAATAACGTACATAAAAACCACCTATGTAGTCAGTTGGTCTCTGCCTTTGTGCGCCAACGTCCATCCTCAGAGACACTGTGGGCCCTGTGTGCGCTCGCGTTCCGCTGCCATGGCAGCAGGGGAGGGGTGGGGGTGGTAGGAGCAGCAGTGGCAGCTCCACCAGCAGCGCTGGCTGCCTCAGTCTGCAGTCGATGATGAGTAGCTTTCTTCACCAGCGCAGTGTGAGGAAACTACTAACCAGCCGCAGCAGCAGCAGCAGCAGCAGCATCAGGTGGACCTGGAGCAGGACCTCAAACAACAGGCTTGGGCCTACTTGGACAGCACCCTGCCAACCGAGGTAGACAATCCCCTTGACTACTGGGCAACGAAACTTGACCTTTGGCCCCAACTAGCTGAATTTGCCCTTGAAAGGCTGTCATGCCCGGCCAGTAGCGTGGCATCGGAGCGCGTGTTTAGTGCGGCAGGAGGTATTGTAACTCCGCGCGGAGGACACGACTGTCCACCCAAAGTGTGGAGAGACTCACGTTTGTGAAAATGAATCAGGCGTGGATTAGTCTGGATTTCAAACCACCAGTTCCTGACACAACATGACTAAATCCGCCATGAATCATGCCCCAAACATGTGCCACTTTCAGGTCTCCTCACACTGCTGGTGTGTTCCATTTTTTGTCATAGGGTGCTGGCAGATTACGGGCCTCCCATAGCTGCTGCCAGGCCCCTAATCTGCCATGGGCCCCTGTACCGCCTCCTCATGCTGCTGCCAGGTCCAGAGTCTCATGGGTCCCTGTACGGCCTCCCATTGCTGCTGCTCCATCGCCACACTCTGCCATGTGCCACTTTCAGGTCTCCTCACACTGCTGGTGTGTTCCATTTTTTGTCATAGGGTGCTGGCAGATTACGGGCCTCCCATAGCTGCTGCCAGGCCCCTAATCTGCCATGGGCCCCTATACCGCCTCCTCATGCTGCTGCCAGTCCAGAGTCTCTCATGGGTCCCTGTACGGCCTCCCATTGCTGCTGTCTCCATCGCCACACTCTGCCATGCCACTTTCAGGTCTCCTCACACTGCTGGTGTGTGTTTCATTTTTTGACATAGGGTGCTGGCAGATTACGGGCCTCCCATAGCTGCTGCTGCCAGGCCCCTAATCTGCCATGGGCCCCTATACCGCCTCCTCATGCTGCTGCCAGGTCCAGAGTCTCTCATGGGTCCCTGTACGGCCTCCCATTGCTGCTGTCTCCATCGCCACACTCTGCCATGTGCCCACTTTCAGGTCTCCTCACACACTGCTGGTGTGTGTTCATTTTTTGACATAGGGTGCTGGCAGATTACGGGCCTCCCATAGCTGCTGCCAGGCCCCTAATCTGCCATGGGCCCCTGTACCGCCTCCTCATGCTGCTGCCAGGTCCAGAGTGTCTCATGGGTCCCTGTACGGCCTCCCAGCTGTCTCCTCACTGCCATGTGCCACTTTCAGGTCTCCTCACACTGCTGGTGTGTTCCATTTTTTGTCATAGGGTGCTGGCAGATTACGGGCCTCCCATAGCTGCTGCCAGGCCCCTAATCTGCCATGGGCCCCTGTACCGCCTCCTCATGCTGCCAGGTGCCATGGGTCCACAGTGTCTCCATGCGCCACCATGCCATGTGCCACTTTCAGGTCTCCTCACACTGCTGGTGTGTTCCATTTTTTGTCATAGGGTGCTGGCAGATTACGGGCCTCCCATAGCTGCTGCCAGGCCCCTATCTGCCATGGGCCCCTATACCGCCTCCTCATGCTGCTGCCAGGTCCAGAGTCTCTCATGGGTCCCTGTACGGCCTCCCATTGCTGCTGTCTCCATCGCCACACTCTGCCATGTGCCACTTTCAGGTCTCCTCACACTGCTGGTGTGTTCCATTTTTTGTCATAGGGTGCTGGCAGATTACGGGCCTCCCATAGCTGCTGCCAGGCCCTAATCTGCCATGGGCCCCTGTACCGCCTCCTCATGCTGCTGCCAGGTCCACAGTGTCTCATGCCATGTGCCACTTTCAGGTCTCCTCACACTGCTGGTGTGTTCCATTTTTTGTCATAGGGTGCTGGCAGATTACGGGCCTCCCATCCTAAGCTGCTGCCAGGCCCCTAATCTGCCATGGGCCCCTATACCGCCTCCTCATGCTGCTGCCAAGTGTCTCTCATGGGTCCCTGTACGGCCTCCATTGCTGCTGTCTCCATCGCCACACTCTGCCATGTGCCACTTTCAGGTCTCCTCACACTGCTGGTGTGTTCCATTTTTTTCATAGGGTGCTGGCAGATTACGGGCCTCCCATAGCTGCTGCCAGGCCCCTAATCTGCCATGGGCCCCTATACCGCCTCCTCATGCTGCTGCCAGGTCCAGAGTCTCTCATGGGTCCCTGTACGGCCTCCCATTGCTGCTGTCTCCATCGCCACACTCTGCCATGTGCCACTTTCAGGTCTCCTCACACTGCTGGTGTGTTTCCATTTTTTGTCATAGGGTGCTGGCAGATTACGGGCCTCCCATAGCTGCTGCCAGGCCCCTAATCTGCCATGGGCCCCTGTACCGCCTCCTCATGCTGCTGCCAGGTCCAGAGTCTCTCATGGGTCCCTGTACGGCCTCCCATTGCTGCTGTCTCCATCGCCACACTCTGTCCATGTGCCACTTTCAGGTCTCCTCACACTGCTGGTGTGTTCATTTTTTGTCATAGGGTGCTGGCAGATTACGGGCCTCCCATAGCTGCTGCCAGGCCCCTAATCTGCCATGGGCCCCCTATACCGCCTCCTCATGCTGCTGCCAGGTCCAGAGTCTCTCATGGGTCCCTGTACGGCCTCCCATTGCTGCTGCTGTCTCCATCGCCACACATCTGCCATGTGCCACTTTCAGGTCTCCTCACACTGCTGGTGTGTTCCATTTTTTGTCATAGGGTGCTGGCAGATTACGGGCCTCCCATAGCTGCTGCCAGGCCCCTAATCTGCCATGGGCCCCTATACCGCCTCCTCATGCTGCTGCCAGGTCCAGAGTCTCTCATGGGTCCCTGTACGGCCTCCCATTGCTGCTGTCTCCATCGCCACACTCTGCCATGTGCCACTTTCAGGTCTCCTCACACTGCTGGTGTGTTCAATTTTTTGACATAGGGTGCTGGCAGATTACGGGCCTCCCATAGCTGCTGCCAGGCCCCTAATCTGCCATGGGCCCCTATATACCGCCTCCTCATGCTGCTGCCAGGTCCAGAGTCTCTCATGGGTCCCTGTACGGCCTCCCATTGCTGCTGTCTCCATCGCCACACTCTGCCATGTGCCACTTTCAGGTCTCCTCACACTGCTGGTGTGTTCCATTTTTTGTCATAGGGTGCTGGCAGATTACGGGCCTCCCATAGCTGCTGCCAGGCCCCTAATCTGCCATGGGCCCCTGTACCGCCTCCTCATGCTGCTGCCAGGTCCAGGTCCTCATGGGTCCAGCTGCTGTCTCCATCGCCACACTCTGCCATGTGCCACTTTCAGGTCTCCTCACACTGCTGGTGTGTTCCATTTTTTGTCATAGGGTGCTGGCAGATTACGGGCCTCCCATAGCTGCTGCCAGGCCCCTAATCTGCCATGGGCCCCTATACCGCCTCCTCATGCTGCTGCCAGGTCCAGAGTCTCTCATGGGTCCCTGTACGGCCTCCCATTGCTGCTGTCTCCATCGCCACACTCTGCCATGTGCCACTTTCAGGTCTCCTCACACTGCTGGTGTGTTCCATTTTTTTGTCATAGGGTGCTGGCAGATTACGGGCCTCCCATAGCTGCTGCCAGGCCCCTAATCTGCCATGGGCCCCCGCCTACCGCCTCCTCATGCTGCTGCCAGCTGTCCACCAGTGTCTCATGCCATGTGCCACTTTCAGGTCTCCTCACACTGCTGGTGTGTTCCATTTTTTGTCATAGGGTGCTGGCAGATTACGGGCCTCCCATAGCTGCTGCCAGGCCCCTAATCTGCCATGGGCCCCTATACCGCCTCCTCATGCTGCTGCCAGGTCCAGAGTCTCTCATGGGTCCCTGTGGCCTCCCATTGCTGCTGTCTCATGCCATGTGCCACTTTCAGGTCTCCTCACACTGCTGGTGTGTTCCATTTTTTTTTGTCATAGGGTGCTGGCAGATTACGGGCCTCCCATAGCTGCTGCCAGGCCCCTAATCTGCCATGGGCCCCTGTACCGCCTCCTCATGCTGCTGCCAGGTCCAGAGTCTCTCATGGGTCCCTGTACGGCCTCCCATTGCTGCTGTCTCCATCGCCACACTCTGCCATGTGCCACTTTCAGGTCTCCTCACACACTGCTGGTGTGTTCCATTTTTTGTCATAGGGTGCTGGCAGATTACGGGCCTCCCATAGCTGCTGCCAGGCCCCTAATCTGCCATGGGCCCCTATACCGCCTCCTCATGCTGCTGCCAGGTCCAGAGTCTCTCATGGGTCCCTGTACGGCCTCCCATTGCTGCTGTCTCCATCGCCACACTCTGCCATGTGCCACTTTCAGGTCTCCTCACACTGCTGTGTGTTCCATTTTTTGTCATAGGGTGCTGGCAGATTACGGGCCTCCCATAGCTGCTGCCAGGCCCCTAATCTGCCATGGGCCCCTGTACCGCCTCCTCATGCTGCTGCCAGGTCCACAGTGTCTCATGCCATGTGCCCACTTGTCAGGTCTCCTCACACTGTGCTGGTCTCCTCACACTGTGGTGTGTTCCATTTTTTGTCATAGGGTGCTGGCAGATTACGGCTCCCATTGCTGCTGCCAGGCCCCTAATCTGCCATGGGCCCCTATACCGCCTCCTCATGCTGCTGCCAGGTCCAGAGTCTCTCATGGGTCCCTGTACGGCCTCCCATTGCTGCTGTCTCCATCGCCACACTCTGCCATGTGCCACTTTCAGATCTCCTCACACTGCTGGTGTGTTACATTTTTTGTCATAGGGTGCTGGCAGATTACGGGCCTCCCATTGCTGCTGCCAGGCCCGTAATCTGCCATGGGCCCCCGTACCGACTCCTCATGCTGTGACGTTGCAACAAGGTGGAATTCAACCCTACATATGTTAGACCGCCTTTACGAACAGCGAAAGGCCATCACAGATTTCCTGATGTTACAAGCGGATAAAGGTACTCCCTGTGTAACTTAGATGTCAGCCATTGGCAGCTCATGCGTGACACCTGCGCTTGCTCAGGCCCTTTGAGGAGGCCACGCTATTCGTGTGAGTCGGCAGGACTATGGGATGAACGACGTCATTCCTCTGTTGCACGTCCTGGAACAAATGCTGTTAACAATGGCTGGTCAGGGTGCGGTAGACGTGACGTGGCGCACAGATCTCAACGCCACATGACCCCTGTGGGGGCAGGACAGGAAGAAGAGGAGGAGGTAGAGGAGTACATTGGTGCTCAGGAATTATTGAGTGAAATGGGTGGTTTTTTCCACTCAGCGGACAGGTGGAGTGGAGGAGCAGGAGCATCTGGTAGAGGAGGAGGAGGAGGAGACAGAGGACCAGACGCACCGTGGCAGTATGCTGTGGAGATGGAGGCAGGGAGTCCCTCGCATTCCTTGGCACAAATGGCCCATAGCATGCTCGCTTGCTTGCGTAGCGACAGCCGAATAATAACCATCAGACAGAGGGATGACTTTTGGCTGTCCACCTTGTTGGACCCTCGCTACCGTTCAAAAATGGTGGCCTTTTTCACACCTGCTGAGAGGGAGGCCAAAATAACGTACTATAAAAACCACCTATGTAGTCAGCTGGTCTCTGCCTTTGCGCCCAACGTCCATCCTCAGACACTGTGGGCCCTGTGCGCTCGCGTTCCGCTGCCATGGCAGCAGGGGAGGGGGGTGGGGTGGTAGGAGCAGTGGCAGCTCCACCAGCAGCAGCTGCCTCAGTCTGCAGTCGATGATGAGTAGCTTTTCTTCACCAGCGCAGTGAGGAAACTACTAACCAGCCGCAGCAGCAGCAGCATCAGGTGGACCTGGAGCAGGACCTCAAACAACAGGCTTAGGCCTACTTGGACAGCACCCTGCCAACCGAGGTAGACAATCCCCTTGACTACTGGGCAACGAAACTTGACCTTTGGCCCCAACTAGCTGAATTTGCCCTTGAAAGGCTGTCATGCCCGGCCAGTAGCGTGGCATCGGAGCGCGTGTTTAGTGCGGCAGGAGGTATTGTAACTCCGCGGAGGACACGACTGTCCACCCAAAGTGTGGAGAGACTCACGTTTGTGAAAATGAATCAGGCGTGGATTAGTCTGGATTTCAAACCACCAGTTCCTGACACAACTGACTAAATCCGCCATGAATCATGCCCCAAACATGTGCCACTTTCAGGTCTCCTCACACTGCTGGTGTGTTCCATTTTTTGTCATAGGGTGCTGGCAGATTACGGGCCTCCCATTGCTGCTGCCAGGCCCGTAATCTGCCATGGGCCCCTGTACCCGCCTCCTCATGCTGCTGCCAGGTCCAGAGTGTGTCATGGGTCCCTGTACGGCCTCCCATTGCTGCTGTCTCCATCGCCACACTCTGCCATGTGCCACTTTCAGGTCTCCTCACACACTGCTGGTGTTAGAACCCGCCAGGTGGTGCCCCTGGCTGCCCACTTGACAGACCTACCCAAAGCGTGGAGTCTAAGTCCCGGTCTGTGCTTTCACCAGGGCCCCTGATGGTGGGGATGGACTTGAAACAGATCGGGACCAGGTCACGACCTCCGAGTAGGCCCACCAGTGGCAGGGGCAACCTCCGGGGATGTATTGGTACCGGGAGAGCCAGATGTGAGGAGGACGGCAGGACCTAGCAGGATGGATCACGAGCGGGGGTCCCGTGGGGTAGGCGAGGTACAGAGTCGGCAGGCGGAGAGTAGTCAGGTCACACGCAGGGTCAGCAGGATAAGTCAGTCCGTAGAGAGGTCAAAACAAGCCGAGGGTCAGGATGGGAGAAGGCAGAGTAGTCAGGACAATCCGGGTCAACACAGGAGTAGGCAGCGTAGTCAGGGTCAATCAGGGTCAAAAACACAGGTACAGGACTCAGGAACTCAGATAGACCTTGTGGCGATTACTGACAGTGCAGGCATCTTTAAATATTGCGCCCTGCACTGTCATTGGCCGCTCGGGACGCGCCCCCGGGCTGTCATTGGCCGCCCGAGGCGCGCCCCGCGGGTCCCACTGCGCATGCGCGGCATCCTGTCATCCACGGCTCGCCGGGACCTAGTGCCTGTGTCCCGGCGTGAGCCGTCGCCAGCGCGCATGCGCCGGCCGACAGGACGCCGCGATCCCTGACATTGCCCCCCCCCCTATGGGCACCCTCCGGGAGCCCCACTGATCTCTCCACCGCGGGTGGCCACGAAAAAATTCCCGGATGAGTCTGGGGGCGTGAACATTCTGGATGGGTACCCAAGAATTCTCCTCAGGGCCATAACCCTTCCATTTTATCAGGAACTGCGTCTGGCCCCCCCTCTTTCGGCAACTGAGAATAGTTTCTACCTCATATTCCTCCTGGTCACCTATGGCGACTGCCTCAGGAGGTCTGGATTGGCGATCCGGGAAGGAATCTGGTCTGGATGGTTTCAGGAGAGAGACATGGAACACCGGGTGTATTTTGAAAGACTCCGGGAGCTCAAGTTCATAGGCCACTTCATTGATCACCCGTTTAATTGGAAACGGTCCAAGGTACTTCGGTCCTAACTTCCTGGAAGGACACAGCATTTTCAAGTTGGTCGTAGCCAACCAAACCTGATCCCCCGGCTGGAGCAACAGCTCTCCTCTTCTCTTCCTGTCGAACGCCTTTTTACTATCTTCTTGGGCTTTAGTGATGGCCTCCTGAATCGTTTTGTTATTGACAGAAAAGAAATGCAAGACATCTTGAGATGCGGGTACCGGACTTTCGGGCGTTAGGTCGGGGAGAAACGTAGGATGATATCCGAAATTGGTAAAAAACGGTGATTGTCCCGTCGCTGAGTGGCTCGAGTTATTATAGGCGAACTCTGCAGAAGGCAGCAGTGTTAGCCAGTCGTCCTGGAGATAGGAGGTGTAGCATCTGAGGTACTGTTCCAATGTTTGATTGGTCCTTTCTGTTTGCCCGTTGGTCTGTGGATGGTAAGCAGATGACAGTGACAGGTTGATTCCTAATGCTTCACATAAGGCTTTCCAGAATCTAGATGTGAACTGGACTCCCCGATCCGATACTATGTCTTCGGGTATCCCATGTAGCCTTACTACTTCCTTGATGAATATCCGTGCAGTCTCCGGTGCCGACGGGGTTCTTTCCAAGGGCACGAAATGAGCCATCTTTGAAAAGCGATCCACGATCACCATTATAGCGGTGTAGCCTTGAGACGGTGGAAGTTCAACTACAAAATCCATGGCAATCATTTGCCAGGCCCGTTTGGGTATCGGCAATGGACGCAACAATCCCCAGGCCTTGCTTCTGGAGGGCTTGTTCCTTTGGCAGGTGGGACAGGTCTGGACGTAGCGCTCGCTGTCTTTGACCATGTTTGGCCACCAGAATGAGCGCCGTAGTAGCTCCAGAGTCTTCGCCACCCCAAAGTGCCCTGCCATTGGATGGTCGTGGCAGTGCCCCAGGACGAAAGTTTGAACTCCTTCTGGCACCACGATCCGATTTTCCTTCCAAAGCAGACCATCGCGGTTCTGGAGAGGCGACCCAGGCGGGACTGGCAGTCCAACGGAAGCGTCAATCAGTCTGGAGCGAAGTTCCGTTTGCAGGACGAGGAAGCTTCCGGATGGCAAAATTGTGTCAGGTAACACCGTATCGTCGGGGTCCTCAAACATGCGGGACAGAGCGTCTGGTTTTGTATTTTTAGACCCAGGTCGGTACGTTATATGAAAGGAAAACCGAGAGAAGAAAAGAGCCCATCTCGCCTGGCGTGGTCTCAGTCGTTTCGCCGTCCTTAAATACTCGAGGTTCTTGTGATCCGTAAATATTAGGATCGGGTGTGTGGCTCCTTCCAGGAGATACCTCCATTCTTCTAGAGCGGACTTGATGGCCAGGAGTTCCCGATCTCCAATATCGTAATTGCGCTCCGCCGGAGTCAACTTCCTGGAGAAAAACGCCACGGGATGCAGTAACTCCTTGGTACCACACTCCTTTGGGAAAGAATCGCTCCTACCGCGTTTTCGGAGGCGTCCACTTCCAAAACATATGGAAGAGAAGAATCTGGATGGCAGAGAATGGGAGCAGAAGTAAACAATTTCTTGAGCGCGTCGAACGCGGTCTGGGCTTCAGGGGTCCATTTAAAAACGAGTCCCTTGTTTAGTCAGTTGCGTGATTGGGGAGACCAGCCCTGAGAAGTTCCTGACAAACTTTCTATAAAAGTTTGCGAATCCAATGAAACGCTGTACCCCCCTCCTATCGGTGGGTGTTGGCCAATCTAAGATCGCCGTGACTTTCTGGGGATCCATCGCGACCCCCGCGGGAGAGAGGACCAGTCCCAAGAACGTTATTTCACACTGTTCAAAACAGCATTTTTCTGCCTTGGCGTAAAGCCCGTGTTGGCGTAAACGTGTTAGGACCCTTGCCACATGCTCCCTATGTGCCTCCAGTGAGGGTGAAAATATCAGGATGTCATCTAGGTAGACAACCACGAAGACATCGAGGAAATCACGAAAGACATCGTTAATAAAGTGTTGGAAGGTGGCCGGTGCGTTACAGAGCCCGAACGGCATCACCAAATATTCGAAATGACCGAATCTCGTACGAAAGGCTGTCTTCCATTCATCCCCCTCCCTGATACGTACAAGGTTATATGCCCCCCGCAAGTCTAATTTAGTAAAAATCGCTGCTGACCCTAACCTCTGGAGGAGCTCAGGGACTAGGGGTAACGGATAGCGATTTTTTACTGTGATTTTATTCAGGTCTCGGTAGTCAATGCAGGGCCGTAACGATTTTACGTCTTTCTTTTCTACAAAAAACAACCCAGCCCTGGCCGGGGACGTGGACGGGCGAATAAATCCCTTCCGCAGATTGTCATCAATATACTCCCTCAAAACCCCTGATTCTAGTTCCGATAATGGAAAAATGCGACCGAATGAAATCTCAGATCCGGGTAGGAGGTCTATGGGGCAATCGTAGGAACGGTGTGGGGGAAGAATGTCTGCTCCTCGCTTACTGAACACATCTAAGAAATCGTGTGTAGGCCCGAGGGATAACCTGAGACAGATCCGTATCACCATCCATGCATAAGGAGAAAACCGGGGCGGCACGGGCCCTGGGACGTGGCAGTGATCCCGGCAGTATGGTGACCGAAACTGAACCGTTCCCTTCTCCCATCAACCTGGGGGTTATGGGCCCGCAGCCAAGGAAGCCCCAGAATGATTGGGAAAAGGGGGGATGCGATGGCATCCAGACGGGAGGAACTCCTGATGATGGTCAGCCATCGTGGTAAAAATAGGGGGAGTCTCCTGATCCACCACTCTCCCGACTTTATGCTAGACCCGTCTGCCAGGAAGATGTTAAACCCCCTTTCTTTGGTCTGGAGGGGAATCTTTTGCCGGTGAGCAAAAGTAAGATCAATGAAACAACTACATGCTCCCGAATCAATGATTGCGGTCACCGACAGGGTTCCTCCGGGAAGCTGTAACGACACAGGTATTGCCAGGTAACTAGATAGGTCACCCCTTTCTGTAGGTAAAGGAAAACAGGAAGCGGACTTACTCATCTTTGCAGGACAGGAGCGCACCTGGTGACCAGCTTCCCCACAGTACAGACATAGGTTCTGCGATCGTCTCCTCTGACGTTCCTCGGCTGATAACGTGGAACGGGCCAGTCCCAGTTGCATGGGTTCTGAGGTGTCCCCTGCTTCCGTGCTCCGAGCATGGCTCCCTGGGGTTGGAGCTGCTTCTCTCGGTGGGATCCATGCCACCCTTTGACCCTGGCTACTCCTTTCCAGGCGACGCTCTCTCAGTCTGCGGTCAATTTGGATGGCCAAACTCTATCAGTTTCTCAAGAGAGTCCGGTAGTCCTACTCGTGCTAATTCGTCTTTTAGAGACTCAGACAGCCAATGCGGAACTGGTGACATAATGCCGCATCGTTCCATCTGGTATCTCCCATCCAACGCCTGAAATCAGACGCATACTCTTCGGCCGCCCGGCGGCCTTGCCGCAGAGAGTATAGAGTAGCCTCTGCAGAGGCAGCCCGCTGGGGGTCGTCATATAGGACGGCCATGGCCTGAAAGAACTCAGTCACGGAATCGAGATGGGGGTCACGCTTCTCCATCAGGCGGTGAGCCCAATCCTGGGGCTCATCCTGAAGGAGAGAGATTATAAACCCCACCTTGACGGTCTCGACGGAAAACGTGCGGGGCTGCAGGTCAAAAAACAAAGTGCACGCGCTCCGGAAGGCCCGAAAACGGCTTCGGTCTCCACGGAATCGTTCCGGCAGGGGAACGCGGGGTTCGGGAGCTAGGGGTGCCGCAACTGCTCCGGATGCTGGAGCAGCGGGTGATGATTCCGCTGTTGCGGAACTTGGAGCAGGGGGAGTCTGGGTGGCCAATGACTCCATGCGGTCCTCAAGCCGGGTGCAGCGGCTGTG